GGCTGATTTCAAGTGTTCTTCCACACTTAGTAAGTAAAAATTCATCCTCCCTATTACTATTTCACTTCATTCTACTCAAATCTTTGGTTGCTTACACAAACTCCCTAACTATGATGTTAGATTCTCGAAAACCTTCAAGACATCTCCAAGTGTTCTTGAATTAAACACTTCCATTCTTCAACAATCATCTACTGAAATCACTCAAGGTGAGTTCATACCCCTACATTTTCATGATTTCTCAAGTTTTCAGGGGGTGAATACAAGTTAAAACACTAAGAACCTATCAAAAAATTTCTAACAGCCTTCATCAGAAAAGTTCAACTCCATTCACGGACTGTTTTGGGAATCTTAAATATTTTTGTTTTCAAAACTGTACAAGGTGCAAATAGTTCAAGTTTTTAGCTTTAAAATGGCTACTTGCACATCTCCATACGATTTTTCTACAATTTATGGTGATTTTTACAAAACTGCCTATCATTTCAAACAACAATCCGGACCAGTCTGTGATTATGGACCTTTTCACCCAAGTTAGATGTCATATTAATTTGTGATAAAAATTATGAACAAACTAGACACATTTTGTGAACTCTCAGAGTTTACGGATCTAGATTTCGACTTCGTATGATTTTTCTATGATTTTTCCAAAACAGGGCAGAATCGCTAAATTTTGCCAACAGCATGTAAATATCATAACACTTTGTATTATGTTGAGCAAAGTGTATAATCATAAGTTTTAGTATTTGTATGTGTTTCCTTGTTAGTTTACCATTATGAACTGAAACTATGAAATTCATACTAAATATTAAATATTATTCATTCATTTTGGAACACGTATCATTAGACTATAAAAAGTATAGTTTGATAAATTCACAATACTAATACATTTTCATAAGAGGATTCATACATATTACATACATTTTAGATAAACTATAATAGGTATAGTTTATGATACATCACTCAACGCACTCGTACCAAAAAGGGTACATCCATACAAGAAAGATTTATATTCACACACATTTCACGTAAACCTGTTAACCTATGTTGTGAGACTCTCTCTCTCTCCCCGTACGTCCGAGTGCGGGATATAATTCCTGGTAGTTATAATCAGAATCTCCTTGAGGGAGAACGTGATACTTGTATATAGATCTATATTGGGTTTGACACCCCACACCTTGCTGCTAGCTACAGTGGGACCTGCAGGTCTACGGGTGACAAATGTCATTTCATTTTCGCAACGCCTGAGAAACGTTGTGGCAGGTTCACATAGTCACAGTATGATTATAGCGGCTCACTTAGGGGGATAACAATTCATGAAGTTTACGGGGTTTCATAAAACCGAAGTAGGTTTAGGATGATAAAAGAAATTTATTTTCCATAACATTTGAAACTCACAACATTTTTACTAAAAATCGATGATTTCTCATACACTCTAGTCTTTGATTATAAGGCTACATATCTCGGATTTCAAGGGAAATATCGGATATTTTTTTTTTCTGAAACAAACGCGACATTTACATGTGAAATACTTCTACTAAGTTTATTAATAAAAGCTTATGAACTCACCAACCTTTGTGTTGACACTTTTCAAACAACTTGTATTCACAGGAAGACACTAATCAGGTTATCAAGTGCTTTTGAGGATGGGACGTTAAGGCGTCAAACTTTTCACATTTTGACAACATATTGTAATTGATTTTGAAACATGTAATTCATACAAGTGATGTAACTTTTTCAATTATATATATGTTGGTTGTGTTTGCTTAAATTACTATTAAAATTGTGGTTATGATGCTATACATGAAGTCCTCCACCCCCGGACGTTTCCGCCATCCTTGGTTTGGGGGTGTGACATTGGGAAATATTAGGAACATCACGTCGATATCATTAGAATTGTGAAAAGATTGATACCATAAATATGAGTTCCTTGTTCGGTTATCTACGTAAAGAAATCATGTAGAGATTAAGAAAGGACAAGTTTGTTTCTATAGTATCTCAAAAGAAAGCAATGAAGCACATCGACGAGTCAGACAATTCAGATCAAGGTGAAGAAAGTGATAAAGATTTCACTAATGAATTTGTTGCCAGCGCTGCTCTTACTGTCAAATGCTATGAAGAAAGCAGATCAAACTGGGTTATAAGATCTAAGTTTAAAGGAAATAGTTCATCAAATAGATCCTCTTCTGAGAAGATAAACTCAGGTAATTGCTCTAATTGTGGAAACCCTGATCATTTTTCCAGGGATTGCATATAGAAGAAAGAAACTCAAAGTCTGGAAAATCATGAAGTCTTGTACAAGAAGCTTATGGCCCATATAAAGAAGTAAAACGTCTCTCCACCAAAAGCCTTTATTACAAAACCAGAAGATCATTAAGAATGGGTAGAAGAAGAGGAGTCATCTGAAGATAAGGGGCTGAATTTTAAGGGTCTTATGGCACTTATCGATGATTCACGTGATGGCATATGTGATGTTGATAGTTCTCACACTGTCAAAATATCAAGTCTAAATATAGGACAAAGTTGATACTAAGACAGTGGAAGCTCTAGAAAATTGACCGGCTAGAAGTCCCTCTTAATAGATTTTGCAGTGAAGGATCGTCCAATGGTAACTTTTGGTGTCAATAGTGTAAGAGTTGTTACAGGTGTTCGAACCTGTTGAATGCATGAAGATTAAGTTGGAGGATGTGTTTTATGTTGAGGGTGTGAAATAAAACCTCATCTCCATCCATCAACTTTGTGATGTTGGTTACAAAGTTCTTTTCAGCCGTCATGAGGGAAAAGTGTTTGATCCTGAAAACAAAATCATGCTTTCTGCACTAAGGGACAATAACATTTATATGGTTTGATTGTATTGGTTTAGATATTGTTACTTTATTTTGTTTTTGCCTTATGCTTTGCTACTCTTAAATTGTTGAACATAAGTTGCTACACTTATAGTTTATTTTTGTGTGTATGCATTAAAATGTTCTTTTAGTACTTTACTAAAGGAGTATACGTTGTACATTTTTCTACTAACATTTCCTACATGTTCTTCTCTATCGATAGTGACCTTAACCGAATGGTCTACTTTGAAAGGATCTGTATGTCATTCCTTGAATGTATCACCCTCCTTGAAAGGACAAGTTGATGCTGACTCTACATATTTTCTTTAGCACCAACTGCCCTCTCACTAACAATGATGATCATGCTAATGAGATAGGATCGGGGATAACTGTGCCACAAACTGTTCTTCTGGACACATATCTCTTCTATCTTGAATAGCCTATTTGGGTTGCAGTGAGATGAAGCAGAGTTCGATGACATGGCACACCTAACTTCTAGGGACCTTGTCATTAACTCTCCATCACCTCAAAGATCCAAAGATGTCTCAACAAGACAGTGAGCCCCCTTCTCTTATTTCATGGATCTCAATGAATGGAACCATCGAGTATTGTCTTGGCGACTCTCATAAGTCAAAGGTTAGAAAGATTGGATCCTTCTAACTCGTTGGCTACAAACACTGGTCCATGCTCTTCTTTTGGTAGTGGTGAATATGAAGCTTGGAATCAATCTACATTATCTAAATGATTAAAAGCATTCTCTCTCTTGGTTTTCTATGAATTGTGTTGTTTTTGTGTTGTATGGTTGATCTTGTTTGTTATCTTGTATAGCTAAAATTTCGAGTTTCACATATTTCACTGTTTAAACTATTTTCTTTTTTGCGTAACTCTTTTATTTGTATTCTTATCTTGTTTATTCTTTTATGCCAATTTTAAAAGGAAACTTATGGTGGTAACTCTAAGCCTAGTATAGGACTTTTGACACATCATCGTCCCTATAAGCATGTTCTTTTATGTGACTAAATCTCTCTCAGTTTCTCATCAGCGAGACCATCTATTGAGAGCATTGAGTCAGCCCCTCAAACTTATTCTCTAGCATTGTATAAACTCAGGAAGTGAGATTGCCTAGCCCAAAAAAAAAAATTCGATAGAAAGGTTAGGGTGTTTAATTTTAATTAATCAACTTTACCTGACCCTGTCTCTGGAAGCATTATTGCGATATGCATCATGTCTCATGTTCTATTAAAACATTGAGCATAACCTAATGCCCTACCTTGATTGCATAGTCATCAACGTAAGAATTACTTGTCTTTTTCTTAAATGACAAAGGGTTGTTCACGTCCCTAACCTCGTAGCCTCAGGTATGACGTGGTACCATTATGAGTTAATGGTGAATCTTTAATTCTAGAATGCAACTTAATATGTGACCCAACAATCTAAACAACTTCTTGTTGATGAGTTAAATTGTTTATGATTCACACTGATTTCACCTCAATGTGACTGAAACAAACCAATCTTTCCTTTATCTTCGTAATTAAACTTAATGATTCACTGTGTTATACCACACTAATAAAGGTTTGAAATTGTATGTTGATAGTTAGTCTACGTACCATAGGTTATCACATGCACAAATACATTCTAGCACTTATATTCTTCTTTACAGTTTTATGATTTAACATAATATACCGTACATAGATGAGCACTTGAAAAATCTATGCTAATAGTTAAGCTCAAACACTAAAGCTTATCACACGCATTATACAATTGTTTCTCTTTTTCTACAAAAAAAGTGATCTATGAATTAGCATATGAAAGACACGCTCATAAGATCTCACAATACTATGGGTGAATGATAGTTTAAACCCACACTATCAGGAGACACCACAAACTTAGCATTTCAAGGCACTCGATGATTGCTTTCGTTTATGTTCATTACCGATGATGACATGTCACATGTTTTAACGATATGTTTTTGGATGATGACTGAAAGATCCATCATTATCTTGGGATGCGAGATTTTACGGCGAATATATCTTCATTCATGATTACGTAAATTAGAAGAATCTATTTAGGTATATACAAGGAATGTTTCATTCTAGGTCATTTTTACAAGTAATTGCAGGAATTAAGCGCTCTCTCTCTCTCTCTCTCTCTATCTATCTCTCAAAAAGTCTCACAATTGACATGTTCGTCAAATCTTTCACCATGTCAAAGCCATTGTATGAGTTCGCCCACAATGAGCATGTTGTCAAAGGTCCTCATGCTCCTGACCTTCCTGTCACCATTCAATCGACCAATGTGGTGTTCTCGGATGAAATCCCAAAGCAGATTATAAAGTTAGGAATTGAAGATTTCATCAACTATGTCAAGAGCTTTCTTCTTCAATATGCATTCTGTAACTTTCTAGATCCATTCTATCCTAAACAAGTGTGCGAGTTCTGTTATTCATGCTCTCTTAACACTGATCATCAATCCATCACTTGAACTATTCGAGATGTCAATATAGGGTTATTGTTGATGTGGAATCCTTTACAACTGCTCTTCATCTTCCTCGATTTGAAAGCGACTCTGCAACTCCTTCTGATGAAAGTTACAAATCTGTTCGTGAAATATTATGGTATTGTTTTAAACTACAGGGCTTCACTCGTGACCCATACAACGACACTCTCCGTTAGTGTTTTGATGTAGGATGGAAGTACATAATAGGTGTTATTGGATAATAGATTGGACACAAGACTGAAAGTTTGGATCATTTGAATCTCTTTGAGCGAAGGATCTTATACTCTATTGTTAATAACAAAAACTTGATTTTTCTCAACTATTTTTTTGATCAAATCAATGACTACATTATTGGGAACAAGAATCCATTACATGTTCGTTATACTCGTTGGTTTGGATTGATCTTCGAAATGAAGGGTGTGTTGAAAGTCATGGCATTATCATTCCAATTCCTAGCCTTTCCTCAAAGATTATTAATGTTGCTCCAATTCAGGTTAACTTGCCAATTACTATGAGGATGCAAAAATGGATTGAAAAACCCTATGTGGTTGAATCCTACGAATTTGAAGATGATGATAAGAATGATAAGGAGGATGGAAATGAAGAAGATGGTAACAAAGAAGGGGCTGATGAGGAAGAAGATACAGGTAAAGATGAAGAAGAATCAACCCTTGATAATATATAAGACTTTACTCATGGAAAGAATTATCCTCCAAAGAACTCTCTTCCAAGGATAAACAAGCATATCCAATTCCCATCTACTCCTTCACCTACCCCCATTGTAGATGATGCTGCACAACATGAATTAACCCCTCCTTTTGTGGAAACCACTGAGCCAATGATCCAAGATGTCAAATCTCCAATGATAACGTCTCTGGCACGTCAAGCTAAGACTCTTCCTATCATGATTGTAGCCTTTCATCAAGATAATCAGGAAGAATCCAACATAAACTTTCAAACTACTGTGTTTTCCTAACGTTCTCTAATTGTGCAAATTACTCAATCACTGGATAAAAGGTTGAGTAATGTTGAAAGAAATGCTTCTACAATGAAGCAACTTATAGGTTTGGGTGATGATGATGATGATGATGATGATGATGATGATATCGTTGTTGATGATACTCCACCAAACTCGCCAATTAATACCCCTCTTCTACCTCCACCTCCATCAATAATATTCCTCCAACACCTCCCCCAACATCTAATCCTACTCCTAGAACTCCTACACCACCTCCTAACTCTCATCCCCAATCTGATGCTGCCAAAAGGGGGAGAGTAATCAAGGAGATCCTCATCCAATGGGAATGAAGGTGATGATTGTACGATCTCCATCTCAACCTATGATGATTGTAAGGGTTGAAGCTGAAGCTGATCCTCAATAGCATATTGTTATTGCTAATATTCTCAAAGCTTATGCCACAACTAATCAGCCCATTCCAGACACTGGTGACCAACCAGAGACTGATGACGTTGAAGGGTTTCTTGATCGTGGTTTCAACACACTAATGATCTTCCTTCTGCTCCCACTGAACACTTGTTTCATATTCACTTGGAAGGACTTCTTCATTTTGAACTAGAAAGAGGATATCACGTGATGATATCACTGGAGCTTAGTAAAAGACTGGATGAAGTTAAAACTGATCAACTCAGATGGTTCAAGTCGAATATCTTGAAAGAACCTGACAAGTTTGCAATGGTTCTTCTGATGACTTTGAGGAAGATTATTTATGACATCATCAGATAGGGGAGATTGCAAGGTCACACGTTATGATCTGATGAGTAATACACTCTACGCATCCATCATCACCATCGTCTACTCTATTACCAGTTCCAGCGTATCAAGCTTATCAGTGTCATCATTTTGTTTAGTTATTCTATGCAATCTATTGTATATTTGGCAATGAAATAGATAAGTATAGAATAGATAGTAGATAACATATCATATATCATGGGATTGATATGTATAGATTAGTATCTAATCTACATTAGGGTAAACCCTAGTGTAGAGAGTTGTTTCGGTTTTTTGTCAAATGACTTTTCACAATGATCTTCTAGAAGACAAAACCCTTTCTTGCTTAAAGAACAATTGGAAATCTCCCTGTGTTATTTACTTCATGTTCTTTGTTTTTCTCTTTAATTAGTTTACTTTTGTTCTTTATACTTGAAGTATATCTGATCTACGAAAACCTTTAGGTGTTGTCGACCAAAATCATCTTAATAAGTGTGTAACCTCAAGAGATGCATTTACGGGTTTAGGCAAGCATCTCGAAATTGTAATCCTCGTTTTGATGATGAGATCACAAAGTACGGTGTAGTTAGAAACGAAGATGAATCTTTTGTTTACATGAAAATTAGTGGAAGCTTAGCAACCTTCTTGGTACTTGTCACACTCCCAAACTGGAACGGCAAAAACGTTGTTGGGCCAGAGGACATCATGTACAATATCACAATTATTGAATAATTGTAATCAAGGCAACAATAACCATTGTAATGATATTAAAATGATTATATTGTATTCGAACCATATATGATTGACTCCAAAATTAAATAGCTAAATAAAGACTTGAAACTACTATACTCCGTCTTCTAGCAACATGTGTGTGTACCTATCGGCTAGTGTCCTGAGAAACAAGTGCTTTGAAAGAGTGTCAACATTAAAGTTGGTGACCTCATAAGTGTTTTGTTTTAGAATATAGGTTCTTCATTCTTTGTAAAACATAATATTTTCCCCAGGAAATCCTATATTTTCTGATGTAATGAATGATAAGAAAAATGACCCGTACCAGTTCCTTCTATGGGTACTTAGTGTATACAAGTTATATACAATCCATATCGAACAAACAATTGATTGTGTGGTTCTGCCCCAAGCCCGCAACAAAATAAGAAACAAGAATAGAGGTAGAAGGCACACATCGCACTGTTTGTCGGATCCTCATTGTAGATAACGCTGCCGTATTTACTAGGTACTTACAAAGTTAATTGTAATAGTCCTTTAAGTTGTGATGAATATGTTCCATTAGAAAATTTTATATTTTCTTAGTAAGAATGTGATAGTACCAGTTCCTTCTATGACTACTTAGTTTACACTAGCTATATATAAACGAAGATGGAACTGTTGGGTTTTGAGCAATCTAACACTTCCTAAGTGTGCATGCAACCCTAATAAACCTTGGATCTATGTTTGTCTAAAGACATGCAAAATAATTATTTTCCAAGGTTTATAACCTATCTAACATGGAATGGGGAACATTTAAACATAGAAAAGTTAGAAGAGATTACATACCTTTTTGATGAGTTTGGTTCTAAGGAGTTTGAGGGCCAAGCACCAATAGTGTGAATCCCTCAAATGGAATCACAAAACACCACAAACTCTTGGAAAACTTTGAGAGAGAATACACACTTGTATTTTCGGCCACACACAAGCACACACACACACAAACTAGTTCACTAGTTACTCTTAGGCTTACTTAGGCACCATTTCATGCTCCATAAGCATGCTTATATAGTGTGCATGGTTAGGGTGAAACCCTAATAACCCATGGCCTTTCCTTTCCAAGGATCCATGGGTTAAAAGCTCCATGGATCATCCATGGACTTCCATATAAGCTTAGCCCATTAACAAAAGATCATTAGCCCACACTATATAAAACCAATAGCCCATAATCTAATTAGTCTTCCTTTTAATCTCTAAATTAATTCATAATTAATTTAAGACTAAAACTAATTAAATAACATAACCTCATATTAATATATTATAACTTATAATATATTAATAAACATATGTGTATAACTCTCATAAAATTATCCATAAATAGTTTGGATGAGATGCAACCCAAATGGACCATGCCGGGTCGGGTCAAGTATATACCAAATAAGTTATGGACTTAGACACCTTATCCAACAGACTCCCACTTGGATAAGTCTAATAACTATATTTGCGTATGTTATCTCAGGAACCAACCAGCAATCGTAGCTCTCGAAAACTCCATTGAACTATGAAGTGCCATTTTAGATAAGTGATCATATAATCCTCTATCCTCATTATATCAGTCGGACAAATACATGGAACAACGTTGTACTTATTTTCCAGCAGTTTGTTTCCCGATTTTCGATTTGTTTGACAAAGAACTTAATCGAACACATCAATTTAGTTCTGACCGGCCGGTACATAGGTCACAACAAAATCATCGAGGGGCCCAGATATCGCTTCTATTTCTAGAAGGAACAGATAAACTTCGACTTATATGCTTGTTCAACTACTTGTTGAATTGTACACAAAGGCACGTTTTATAACATCAAGTTACTGATGCGTTTACGTGCAATCAATGCACAACCAACTCATAGGTAACAACTCATATCTCTAGGTTTGAAGATTTATATGATATTACCGTCTCACGATCACTCGAGATAAATTCCATGAAGTGATACAAGTGAGCGTGGGTTTATTCCAATACTCATAACTTATGAGCACTCATGAATGTTGTAGCAACCATTGCTATGACTAAACCCATTTAGCCATCTACAAACCCGATTCATGACAGTCTTGATTCATACCTACTTCCAACATATGAACGACTGTGGAGTGTTTAAATAACTTAGTCATTGGAAAGAATAACCTAGCTATTTTGGAAGTCAAAACATGCAAAGTGAAACACAATAATAATCGAATCCAATATGGTCTCAGAACCCTTTTGAATATAAATAAAACCACCTTTTATTTATCACCATATTGATTACACGTTATTCAATGTTTCAAATAATCAACTTAAGACTTGAATAAAAACAACAGTCGTCCCATGCTCCTGGCATGTACACTTTGTTTTTCTAAACAATAGTTATGCCATACTCCAAGTATGCTCACTATGTTTGTCTATGATCCTTACATTGTGATGTAGATCAATTGAACATGATTCGAATGATACTCATTTCACAATCCCAAATCCTTATTGTAAATGTGAGAATCCCCGATTCCTATCATTTACCAAAAAGATTTTAAACTTTTATGCAATGTTCCTCTTGTAATGATTATTCACAAAGTCACCAAAACCTTGTCACCAGTCATTACCGAGTATTCCAAAGAAGGTCAACTTCTATGGAACCGAAGTCTCATATTCAAAGTACATTGCTTTGAACATCCTTCTTGCATTAAGGTTTTCCAATCTTACATAGATTGAATAACTTCCACCTATGGAGACATTTCCATAGTCCCATTTTGAATATCACTTCCGAACAAGAGTTACCTCTTTTCAGAAAATGTCAATATGGTCTTGCCAAAATTAACACTATACTTCCAAATGTCCTTGAGCAACCAATCTTTGGCAAACGTCAGATTGTCCTCGACAATTGGTTAATCACTTTAGTGATCTCCAGTTCTAGACTTTTCCCTTCTAAATGCCGTGAGCATTTGGAAAATTTAGAAAGGATGAATATTATAGCACATGTAATCGATCCTATATCCGAAGCATATGGGACACGATTCATGATGTTTGAAATAAAGACATGATACTAGACCAGTCTTTTGCTACAATATTTTTATTTCCCATGTTTTCAAAATTTAACTATGAAGAGGGATGCCGTAATCATAATCGAATTTTGAAAACGCAATATATATAGAATTTCTTCAAGTCGAACCATTCAGACATAAAATTCATATATATGTCCTTAACTAAAGATGATTAAAATCTCAATCTAAGCTTCTAGAATTGAAATGATGTATAATTTCCTCTCCCTTAATTATAGCAAAACAACTTTTCAACCCCTGAAACTTCACGAATTGAAACTTTTGTTTTCTATAACTAACATTGCTAACTTGCAACACTAAATGTAATAATCATGCTCCCACTAACATGATAATTATCAGCATAACACTTATGCTCCCACTAGCTCTAACATATTTCCAAAAATCTGCTAGCTCACATGTGTGTCTAAACAATTTTCAGAACTATGAAAAGGGATGCCATAATCATAATCTCAATT